AGAAGCTTGTACTGTACTGTTGCAAAATGAGAGAGAAGGTTCAACAGACAGATTTTCCACTCATTGCATTTGGTAAGCAAAAGGATTGGTTTGAACCTGTTCAACTTGAGTGTGTATTTGATGAAGCCTTTGCAGTTGAGAAGACAAAGGCAGTGTGAAAAAATTGGCATTGCCCCATTTACAAGACATTRTCTTGAAGACTAGAACATATCACATGCTGAACTGATCATGCTACCAGACAGCACCATTGGTCTTTATACTGATCCCARGACTGCAGAGCTAGTAGCTAGTTGATTGGCAGTGTATGTATATTGCAGCAGTTAAGGTATTGAATGATACTGGATTTAATGGAGATATCTTCAAAAAATATGCCCCAAGACTATCAGCTCCTAAACCAGTAACAAAGATTGGGACAAGGGAATGGCAAGATGCAATTGCCCATATCAAGTACTCAAGTGAGCATTTTGTTAGGACCAATGGTGATATACTAAATAGTGATGACTATTTCATTGCTGAAGAAAGGAAAGAAAGACAAATGGTAATGAAAGATCTTACTRAGCAGCAAAGAAGAAATCCAAAGCAGTGAGTGAGTTGAATGCAAAGGCAACCAGAATGATTGAAGAATTGCTATCAGCCAAAGGGGAAAGATGCTGTGTACAAGGAGGAAGATTCCAAGTCTCTTTCAATTGCAACACTYAAACTTTTGTGTCAGTGGAAAGAACAAAAAAAGATTCCTGCAAAGAAGAAAGACAAAGTCTTTTATGTTTGGATGCAAGTGAGGAATCTCCCTCCTCCAGAGCCTTCCTGGAGAGACTCTGATGAGACCAAACTAAAAAAACTGAAGGAGGAAGAAATTACAATCAGGGACACTGCATTAGGAAGGGAAAGAGATAGACAGCAACAAGAACAGGCTCTAACCTGCCTTGCAGGAATGACTGAGWAGGAAAGAGCTGCTAGTAGAAATCTTCCCCTTTCAGTTCTGGAGGCTGTAAAGGGAGTGGTCGAAGGTCCAGTGGTTGGTGAAGTTGCTCAAGTTTTGTGTAGTGTCCAGTAGTTAGTGCCTTAGAGAGTGCCCCACTAGTAAGCAATTTATGTTAAGAGAAATCTGTTCTTTGAATTGATTTCACCAATTTTGATTAAAGGAACCAATGTGAGTAGTACTACTGTACAGTATGGCTACATATTTATACCTTCTTCTAAGAACAAACTCTTGATGTACCACCCTTAGTAGGGGCGAGCAATGCAATGGTATTTGAGTATTGCAATGCTGCACTAGGGGGGTTAAAAATTTTGCAACAGTGCAATGCTACACTCTACTAGTACACATCGGCTGTTGCAAGACTGAACCATATGGGACTAAAAAATGCAACACTCCTGAACACATATGGGACTAAATATTTACTMGGCAAGACTGAATTTTAAGATGAATTCTTAGACCTTCTAGTATACTACTACTASTAGTTGTTGTTAATATTACTGCAATTACTGTTGGAATACTAGTAGTTGCATCATGCTACCAGCAACAACAATGACTCTGTGGCAGCCTCTGCTATTGGTGATAGCAACACTACTAATAGTACAGAAGAGTAGGACCCTTTGATGATTACTATGCAGCAACAACAGGCAAGAAGCACAAAAAGAGCAAGCTGCAGCAGTGTGTACTAATCCTCAGAGTATCAAGCAATCATGTAATCTGGAGCTGCTTTGGTATATGTCCCATCCCCAACTTGCAGTAGACAACAAGGAGAGTGACAAGACCACCAGGCACTCCAACCCTCTACAATGGTGGTGGGGAAATAGAATGAACTGATTTGTTCCAACATTGGCTATTCTACAACTAGCAAGGTATTTTGCTGTTCAAGCAACATCTGCTCCTTCAGAAAGAATATTTAGTAGGGCACAGAGGATTATCAGCAATCTAGGAACTCAGCTTGATCATGATATTGCAGGGAGGACTTTGTACTACTATCAAGGTGTAGCTGRAAAAATTGATTGTTGGTGGTATGAGAAACAAATGGGCACATTGTTGAATGATTTTTGAATAGCAACATCATAGTGGTGGTATGGGACTACTATCAAGTAAATTATATTAATATTGTACATTTTTTTACACAACGGCATTGTGCAACGGTCAAGGAYGGAAAAAAGGTGTTGTTGTGGACCATTGCGCAACGTTTTTCAAATACCGTTGCGTTGCCGACCYCTAACCGCCGTACCCGGAACTGTACCTTAGGTTTTTTGGAATGATGCGAAATACAGTACTACTAGAATGGACTAGACGAGAACAGACTTCCTGTGGAACATGGAAAACTGGATGGATCGCTGGATGCAAACCATCTCGGCCATTCCTTGTGGTTCCGTTTCCATTCGAACCCACAGTGCTGATAGTTTTTTTGGGTTTTGTTTTGTAGTATTTTTGCTATTGTTTACTGCATTACGGATTCCGCACGAACGGCACATTGCTTGGATCCGTGTCGACACGCAGAACTAACCTAATGCACGGCAAGAGTRCTGTCAACGGACAGCACACGCACCGCAGTTTGTTATTGCCATAAAAATCTAAAGGTTTGTTCTTTTGTTKGTATGCATGYAYGTTTGGAGTATCAAATCACGGCACCGGCCTCCTCGTCGTGCTCCTGCTCGGAGCGCTCCAAAAGGTCGTCGCTGGGAAAGGTCCCCAGGTTCTTCACGGGACCAACCAGGAGCGTAGTGAGCTGCTCCAGGAGCTTCGTGTCGTCCTCATTCAGCATGAATTGCTCGATCTCGGTCTTTCCGATCTCGAGTTCCATGTTGTCCTGCTGGACCCGCAGAGAGTTCTGGATCTCCTTCAGCGAGGCCATCTCGGCCTGCACGTGGTTCTCCATCTGCACCATTCGTTCCTCGAAGCACTTGAGGTTTTCCGTCACCGCCCTCATGCGCTTCTTGATTTCCCCGTCGACCTTGGCCTTGATCTCCTCCTCGCGGGCCTCGGCGTCCTCCTCGCACGGAGTGCTCATGTTCTTTTGCATGACGGCKCGGATCCGCCGGTGGAACTTCAGCGCGTCGTTGGTGATGCGATCCCGGAGTTGGAACTCGGCCCAGCACCGATCGATTTCGAGCTGCGTGTATCGGGCCTTGAGGGATTGGTATTCCTCTACCGACACCGATCCCGAGGTTGTTCCCTGGTCAGATTCCTTGTCGCTGCCGGCACTGGCGTCCGTGGCACGTTTTTCCTTGTCTTCCATGGCAAGCTCGACCTGCACACGCTGCTGGCGAATGACTTCGTGGGCGGCCTTCAATTCGTCCTTCAGATTCACAATGACCTTCATGATGTTGGTCGGGTCTTCTTCCGGTGGYGTGGGCCGTGGTTCCTCCGCTTTGGTTTCTTCTGGGGTTTGTTGGATTTGCGAATGATGTTGTTGTTGTTGTTGCTGCTGCTGAACGGCAGCCTGTTGGGCATCGCCGTAGCCATGGAGGCTCCCTCCATGGCTGCTGCCATGTATGCTTCCTCCGTTCGGAGAACGAATGCTGCTCCGCCGCATTTCGATTCGTTTTCGGAACCGCCCGATGATGCCACCCCTCGGGTGGTTGAGTCCGAATTCAGGGGAATCCACCTCCCGGGCCACCACCATAAAGTCGAAGTGGAGTTTCTTGAGATGCTGCCGATTTGTTTCCAGTACCTGGTAGACAAAGGACACCCAGGCTTCTTCGACCTTGATGTGGTCGAACTCCATTCGTTTCTTGTCGATTTCGTCTCCCTTCAACTCCTTGAGTTGCTCCATGATCTTCGACATTTGGTTGGCCGCAAGCCGGGCCGAGTCTGCGTCCGCCTTGAGCTCCTGTATCTCCGATTGTAGCTCCATGTTTTCCATCTCCAAATCCTTCTTCACCGCGACTTCCTCCTCAAGCTCGGCGATCCGTTTCTTGAACTCGGGCAGCTCGATCGCATCCTTGGCCATACTTTCCGTAATAATCCCTCCGTTCTTTGACGATACACCGTTCTTCAGCCGCTGGACCTCGTTTTCCAGATCATGGATACGGGCCTTTTGCTGGCTCATGGTGGTTTCACCGGGAGCCCCGGAGCTGCTGTCGTCCTCGGAAGAGACAGTTGTCGCGGTGGACACGGTAGAATCGTCTTCTGCCGTTGCCAAGCCCATCTTGCGAATAGTCTCCTGGAGCTCCTTAACCTGGGCTGCCAGAAGCTGGTTTTCGCGCTGGAGTTTGGCGGCCTCCTCGGGCGACAGCGTCTTAATGACGTTTCGGGTGGCGGTGTTCTTAATATTTCGTGCGTTCGTGGCATATCGCAGCGTCGTGATGGTCTCGTCGAGGTTAAAGTCGGCGGGACTCACACAGGCCACCATGATTGTTCGAGAATTTCCTCCCAGCGAATCTTGCAACAAACGGGTCAGAATCGAGTCGCGATATGGCGGCTTTCGCTTGTACTTGGGTCGGGTTTCTGAAAGGGCGCTCACGACCTGCCCCAAGACAAAGAGTCCCTTGTTGATGTTGATTCCTTCCTTCCGCCGACCACCCTCGGCACCCGTCTTCTTGATTCGTTCCGAACCGGCCAGATCCACAAGAGTGAGCTTGGCTTCGAATTTCGATGAATCTTCCAGAACTCCCTTGATGCGCAGGACGCAAATGGCRTGGGAACGACTGGATACCGCGTTCATTTTGGTAGAGGCAACGGCTCTCTTCGTCGAGGCCTCCTCCATGTAATCTCCGATGACTTTCGGAGAGTCCACGGGCCGCGACGACAGGCCAGCGACATAGACTTCTCCGTTGAGGGTTTCTCGGACCTTGAGTTCTTTCACCTTGCCACTTTTCCCCTTTTCGGATTCGTCCCTCAGCAGATCCCGCATCTCCTCGTTGTAAATTTCCAGGTACGACAATTCTACCTTGGCGTTGCCGTCGCAGCGCTTTTCGATTTGGGTGAACAAATCGACGCAGGCACGAGGGATTATTCCATCGTTTTCTCCAATATCCATCGATGTTCCGGCAGCGGATCCCATTGTGAAGGTTTTACCTGTAGTGTGCGTATTGTCATTTGATTGTGTTCGGTACAAGATAGGATAGTCCAACGCAGCATCATTCAGAACATTACGGTAGGTAWAGATCGGCGTGGGTGCATTTTATTTTTGCGTATTGTCGAATTGGTTCGTTTTGGGCCAAGTTGAATCAACAGGAAGCAATCATATCACAGCGTATATCATTCCATGGCGTTATTGTGATTAAACARAATTGGATTGCATGAAATCGAACGGAATGGAATAAAAGCGAATCGAATTGAGCCAAACCGAATAGAAGCAAAAGTGGCATTCCATCTCCCTTCAAGTAAAGTGCAACGAGATCAAACGCAACACAAAGCAAAGAAAAACTAAAGAAAACGCACCGGCTCCAGTTTGACCATAGGCCAGAATGGTRCAGTTAAAGCCTTTGAACAGATCCTCTGTGACGGCCTGCTTGGCCCCAGCCTTSACATATGCCTCTTCCTGCGTTGACGTTCCGTCCAACACTGCATCGAGCTCGAACCAGCGCTTCTCGGCRTTTTCGGGCCGGACTTCCAGCACCTCGGGCTCCCTGGGTATCTCGGGGGGCGCTCCCGGTGCGGTTGCGTTGTTGAGATTRGGAAGCGAAGTGACGATTTTCTTGGATCCGTTCTCGAGTTCGTATTTCGCGAGGGGACGGATCCTGGCCACGACGCGGACGTTTGAGGAGGCCGCTGCGGCCTTGCCTTTGTTCGGACCACCCATGGCTTGGTTTATCGAGTTGCCTAGTTCTRTGCCGTAAAGTGTTGCGGTGAATTGACACCGCCGAGTGCTTGCTTTTTCCAACGAATCTCGGCTCCAAACACCGGCTATTCGGGTGAACTGGCTGCTCTAGCTCGTGCTTGTGCTCTTTATCGCTGCACTACCTATATTCGTAATGAGACAAAACCTCCAGAGTCGCTTTGCTGTTACAAGAGTCCTGTCTCTGTGTGAACTATGCTATACATTCCGATGGAGATCAAAAAGTTGGTGCTGTATGGAATGATGGCACGAAAAGGCACTGTGGAATTAGTTCGTCAACAAAAAATAACGCTCCGACGTAACTTCGTCCTTAGGCTACGTAACGTTCCACACCAGTACTATCGACAAGAACCGTACGAAACAGTAGTGATCTCTACGTACACTAATCGTATCGTACAGTCCAGTAATGAATCATTTTAGAGCCGTTGCGTACGAGTATTGATTTTTTTWAAAAAAAAAGCGCTTTGCAGTGCTAAATGCCAAGCGCGTGCGAATTGTTTTTTTGCCAGAGCGAGCTCGGTGGTGTGGTCAGTTTTCACAGCGTAAGCATAACTATCTCAAAATTAATTATTTCAAGGTAAATTAGAGTAAAAGGCATGTACCGGTACCAAAACGCAATACCATGTACGATGCTATACGGTAGCGCACTTACGGTACAGGACGAAGCCAGTATTTTAAGACCATGCGTGAAGACCACTCGTACAAACTACTTTACTCTACGGTACGAACGAGGAACCATTGCTTCGAAATGTACTATTACACGATCACAAGTACAGTAATGTACCTGGTACTACTTTTTGTTCGTGAGACTCCTTCCACCAAAGTGCGCGAACGATAAATATTTTAACGACTTAAACGTCAATAAATAATTCCCACCAGGGTGATCGGGCCCCTTGGCGCTTCATTGGTCATTAAAAAAACACCAACGCTCGTRACAGAAGATTCCCACCTTTTAGTACGTACGATTGTCTGCCGTGAAGMAGGTGGAGCTGTGCAAATGAAAACGTATGTTTGAAAACCGGAAAATTCGTTTCAAAATTCTCGCACACCCCTCATTGGATTTTTACGCCACCACCATGTACCTAGACTACTCGTACTCGTAGAAATACATATTTCTGTACCTTAAACATTTTGTGCATCATTCCCAAGTGGGTTCTCATCTTCAATTTAATTATGCCATCCTTAATTTTTCAGTACAAATTCTACAGAGCTCTACTGAGTGTTGCTCCCCAACATTTTCAGCATGTGATGAAAGTAGTTGCAAACTACCTTGGTAGATTTTGTACTACTACTAGTAGTACTACTAGTATTTCTACTACTAGTACTAGTAGTAGTAGTACTATGTTTTACTACACTAATGGGTCATTCCTGATATTCTAAATTGCAAAATGTGCTAAATCTATGAGTTTACTAGCACTTCTATAATAATGGGAATAAAAATTCAACGGACATACTGGTGAGAGGGATGCCGGCTCAATGCCAGTCTTTTGTTGTTGGAATTTGGAATCTTAATTATAGTACTTGCACCAATGTAACTAAAAAGACATAAAATGCGCGCCATTGGGTACAAAGAAAGAAACACGAAATTTTATTGATACTCTTACATATCAGAAAATATGTGCATTCCTCCTCACACTACTAGAAGCTACTAGCTAGTAGTCAACAACAAATGATTAGCCGCACTAAAAGACCAGACATTGTTCCTCCTAGTAGTAGCAAGAAAAAAGGCAACAGCAATGGGAGTGGTGGAGGTGATCACAACAATGTACTGGTACCTCTGGTTGAACATGGACAAGCAGCAAAGAAGTTACAAAAACAAACTATCTCCAGAAGAGCATTGAAGGACGAGAAGGGATAGGAGAAACCACAACTTGCAATCAGGAGATATGCTGATTCCCCCTTCCATCACCTCTTTCACTCAGGGCTTGACAAAGGAGCACTGCTCAACTGCTGTGGTGTAGACCACAGGGTCTTCGTCAGAGAGCTCATTGATATATTTGCTSCAGTATACACCAACAAGTTTACAATCAACAACGACAATGAGAGTCAAGCAATGCGTTCCCATCTTTGAATCTACAGTCTACTTACTAGTCTCATTAAGGTCAGTTTAATCTTACTACTAGTACAATAGCATTCACTTGTATTCATTTGTAACAGTACTGGTATTTGAATAATGAACAAACAGCTGCTAGCTGCAAGACTGCTGGTGCAAGAAGCTATTTTTTTGTTTTTGTGTATAGTACCCTTGTGGCTTTGCAGCCACATTTGTAAATTGACAGCAATCCTCATATACTGTAGAAGATGCCTGCTGGTGCTACTGATTCCACTGAACAGTTGAGTGGTTGAGTTGAGTTGAGTTGAGTTGAGTTGAGTT